GTACCATCGGAACAGGCTCAGATGCAATATAGCTTTCGTAATGGATAGCGGGAAGTCCGATGTCAAAATTTGTCGTTACAAGCACTGGAAGGGGCCGTCGAATTAATTTGAGGGCTATATAAACCCTGGCGCACCATCGTGCCTTACTCCGTTTACGTTTGTGCGTTTCGGATCTTGCGCGATTGGAACAGTTCACAAGCCTTCGGGTTCGTCTGAACCGTACGAGCTCGCTGAAGCTCGTAACATCCATCCATTGTTATATGTGACGGCAACCTTCAATCTGGAAGCATTTGTGTGATACGTGTGTGAAATATTGTGTGCGTCCGATAGAGACGGAGAGGAAATATCATGGTGAGAGCAGGGAGGCGGCCCAATAGCACAGTGTCAACTGTCATGCGCGTATTGCCCTGATGATGACCTTTCCCAAATCCCTTACCGCTGTAACGGAAGGGATTATTTTTACAACGAAGGTGCCGCAGTGACAGCCTCCCACATAAGCTGGAGTGGGCAATTCCGTCCAACCATACCTGTCGCCCCGTCCGTTGCCCGTCTCTGCAGCGCAGCAATCCTGACCGCCCCGAGATCGCCCTTAACATAAACACAGCGTCATCTGGCTGCTGGTAATTTTGCAGAAGACTGAGGTGTGAACATACATTGCCACACTCGGCGACATCGGACAGTCTTCCGTGCGGCGAAGAACGAAAGCGTTTTGAACTTCTGACGAGCAAAGTTGGTCTCAAACAAGAACCGCTACCGTGTCCATCACACTCCAAGCTAAGTGGTTGAAAAAAGCGGTACTATCGGCCCAGTGCAGCTTCGCATATGACGAGGGGTAGGTGCGAGTTCCCGAGCCTAAAACCCGTTTCCACATCGCTTGAGTTCACCTTACCCCCTCTTATTACTTCAAAGCCACTTTCTGTGGCTCGTCAAGTACCCCATACCCTGTTTATTAAAGAGGCGACGGGCTCTTTGGAGGTACAGGGTGAGGTTACTCTTACCTTGCAACGTTTTTAACCTCATTCCGCGATGATATAGGTAATTGCATTTTGAAATTCTATTATTGGTAAGGCACCTCCTGGTTACGTGGCAAGTTAGTGTGTTATACTGCTTATACTGCTTGCCCTAGCATGCAAGGCCGTGGAACAGTATACAGTTGCCCGAGACACATTTACTTGATCCCTGAAAGAGACCTCCTAGAAGAGGCCTCTCCCGCGTTACATGGTGAGAAACAAAGGCACGCGCCAGCCCAGGGCGGCGGAAATGCGCCCAGCATCACCCCAACAAGAGAGCCCCTGCACCCTCGTCTAGCTTAAACATCCCCGGGTTCCAGCCAAATGCCGCCACCGGGCTCCGCCACAAAGACACGCCTCCTCCTCCGCATCTTTCTTCCCGTTTGAACAACACGCCATGCACCTAACTCCGCCTCAAGCACAAGACTAAACAAGGTGGGACGAATGCCGATGCCCCAAACGTGGGTTCCTCGCAGGGAGGTGTTTCGCATCGGCAAACATCATCGTTATCGTTACGCTCCAATCTTTGGGACGATGACCACCACATGCCGCGAATCGCCGCAGCAACAGCTGTCGCCCGCTCAGTCTCCCGAGGACATAACAGTCAAGAGCACACCATGCATGTAGTCTCTCATGTGCGCTCTAAAAGGTATTAAACCAACACACACACGCGCACACCACCAGCAGATTATTCTTTAAAAACAAAACACCACCATCAACTTCACTGGCGTGCCGCAGAGTGTGGGGTCGGGGCCCCGACTGCCAAAGCAAGAGCCAGAAACAAAACATTTCGCCTCATGAACCTTGTCTACTCCGTGGAAACGAGCGGGTCGGTTTGATATCCCAATAGACCTTCATCGCACTACAATTATAACGCATTACCTGCTAATATAATGTGCACCTAGCAATTCTCCTTGCGCGGAGCACAAAACAAAACTCTGTAGCGCGAGGATCATCATCATCAGTAGTAGCGGCAGCGGTGGATTCTAAGGTGCATCATCATCATCATCCCACCCCTAGGAGACCAGTACTTCCATTGCTTCCTAAGCCGGCCATGGCCGCGACCTGATTAGCCTCCTCCTCGCCATCCGGCCCTCTCCTCTATAATTAACCGCACCGCAGGCATCAACGACAACCGCGTTGTGCTCCTACTGCCTTCAGCGCTCTTTCTATGCACCACCGCACACACAAACACACACGCACATACATAGGGATGTTGTGCGTCCTGTGTATGTATGTCAGCCAATCTGAGGGTGTTCCACAATCTTTAAACTACCGCACACCACAACACAGCAGTATCATGCAGGCGGGTCTCTAATGGTATGCACGCCAGCCAGCCAGTCGTGCACGCTCCAACACACACCGCAAAAATGGAAAGAAAAAAGATGAAGGGAACTGCGGCAGCTGTGGGCGGTCGCCATCAAGCCAACATGTAACAGAATCGACTCAATCTGTCGCGAGGTCCGTAAATCCGGTCGTATGTAAGCGCGAGAAGAAAAGCCCTCGCGAGGTTTGCGGATTGCCGAGGCTCCTTAGCCTCGCGCCCCTCCCGTTGCTGATTGTGCAGAGTTTACACACACCGCGGCACCCGCAGCCCCAGAAATACGCACACCACCGGTAGTGTGAATCCGGATACTCCCCACTTAGTTTCAAACCGGGTAAAGGTGGGAACGCACGGGGCTGAAGAGTCAAGTGTCAGAGGCAGGGGCCCCCGGGAACGTGCATGACAACGCTCACGTGCCGCCGATAGCAACAGCTTCCCCCCTCCCCTTTTCCTAGCAGGCCCTCTCCCCCCTCTACAGCCCCTCGCGAGAGCACAGCAGCTTCTTTGTAATGGAGAGAAGCAGCTCGCGAGGCAATGATTGTGACAAGAGAAGATATCTCAAACCCCCCCAAAACCAAAACACGGAGCAAGAGCCCTGAATCAAAAATCCTTAAGAGACCCTTAAGACTCCACTACTCAACACCGTTTTGGGTAATGGAAGTCTGGTAATGGAAGGGAAATGCGCTTGTCGAGGCACCGACCGATATCGTCTCAGTGACCCCTCGCTGAGGCGGGAAACCGTCGGCGCTTCGGCCGTCACAGCAGCCCAGTGCCGCACGGTGAAGGAACTGCAGGACGGAAGAAAGATCTTGACACAGCAACCAAGCCAATCAAGCCAACAAGCACTCTTGCCCTCAAGACCTCGGGAACCAATCCACAGAATCTGCCAAATGGGTACCAGACGTCCGCAGCCCCCCGGGGGTAGGCATTGCGGTGTGGACTTGAAAAACGGAGGGCGGTGGTGGTAAGGATGGGGGCCCCAAAAAGTAGAACCACCGCAGTGCTGTACGACAACGGCCAACCGACAACGGCATCTGCGAAGGTGGGGAGGCGAACAGCTCGCAATGGTCCGCGGCAAGGTCTCATCATCTCGCAACATAGGTCTAAACCCGCCTCGACCAGCGCCTGCAAGTTACTGGTTCGTCGCTAACCACCCGCACGCCAACTGGCGGAAACATCCGACACACACGCTTGTAAGATCCCGCGAACCTCTTTCAAAGGCACAATAACCTTGTATGAAGTAACCCCCGGACATGTAATTCTCCACCGCCCCAAAAGATGCAAGAAGCGGAGCACATAGGAATTCACAATTTTTGGTAGTGACAGACACCCAAGAGAATGTCCACTTCCTCCGCCTGCTTCGTCTGTCGCTACACGTCTCGCAGCACATCGCGACTCAATATACTACTAGGGCGGGAAAGGGGGGAAGCCGCGGGGGGAAGGGGGGGAGGGCGGGGGAAGCGACTGAAGAAGCAAAACCGTCGATTGTCCATCCCAAGCGCACTGTACGACGCCGTGCACACGTACGGTGTACGGCTCCTCTTGAGCGTAAAACAGACGACACACACCCGCGCACCCGAACCAGCGTCACAGCGGTATCTCTCTCTCTTGAGGTCGGCGGCTGTAGCGGCAACACCTGCAACAACAAACTCACACATACACCACACGCAGTACGACACTCTCACAACACGGCCAAGTTTTAGGACGCTAAGAGCCCTCCACGGGCCCCGGCCAAAGCATAATCCTGAAACGGATTGCGGCAAAGACATGTTATGTACAACACGATGAGAACATGGGTCAAAGAGTACGACAATAACAACAGCAAGACGAAACATTTTCAGCGCGCATACAACGGCGACAGCTTTTTGTATTTTTTTATGTGGCGGCATAGTTTTTAGGTGACGGACATGCCTTTGCAGTGTTGTTTTCAAGGAACCGCTGACAGCGCTAAACTCCTACTCCTGGCTAATCGCTGCTCTAATCGCTGTGTGTTCGGAGTATTCCCTCCGCGGCCCCCGGGGTGTTCTCAGACAGGATCAGGGGAATCCCAGCCGGCAAGATAAAACCTCTTTCTGTCCAACTACGATCGAGAAAAATACCCGCATTGGGGGGCATCGTACCATATCGCCCCTGCCCTAAACTCATGCCGTTCACAAGGCCGCCGGTGTACTCGTGCTACAAAACTGCACCGCAAATCCTCCAAAACCCCACTCACGACCCTCCGGAATGCTTGAATGCAATAAAACCCGAGACATCGCGGTAACGACGCCGTTGTGCCGTACAATGCATCCGAACAGCGCGGCTGTGCCCGCATTTCTAACGCCACCACCTCCCAACTCCATGAGCACGACCATCACCACCACAACCACCACGACCACCACAACCACCGCCGCAAACAACGACGCCACAATGACACAATTCAACATCTTCCAAACCCTACACAGCCACTTCCACGGAGTGGAATTCGACCTTTACAGCGGCTCTTAACAGCCGAATGGATATCGACCCAAATGCAAGGAGTTGCAGGAGCTGCCAATGTAGCACCGTTGCATCAGTCAATTGCCAACCAGCCTCAGTTCTCAGCCAACTCAGCCGCGGTTCGGGGGTTCACCACTGACTCAGCACCCACCAAAGCGCGCAGCGGGACGCGGTTCAGTACCTGGACTTCAGTACCCGGAAGACGAGCGGCCGCGCTTCACGCTCGTGCTCGCAATGTAAGGCGGGTCACGCTTCGCTGCTGCATTGCGCTTTGCCGCCGTGGAGGCAGCACCGCCCCCTCCCGCCATCGAAGCAGCAGCCGTTGCTCTGCCGGCGGGCGCGATCGCCACGGCCGGGTTGAGCTGATTGGTCCGTCTGAAGCGCGTGCCGCAGGCGTTACAGAGCATGGGCTTCGCGGGGGGCCCCCGGCGCCATTGTGGCGACTCTGAAACACGGGAGGGAGGGAGCGGGAGAGAGAGGGGGCCCAAGGGTCACGGAAAGCAGATACAGGTTTTGTTACAAAATCTACACGACAGTTCATTTAGTGCAGCCTACCGAAATCCACAACCAACCCACTACCAACGCTTTCAAGGCTGCTGACCCAGATGGAGAGCGGTGCTCACCGGTGGCTCCGCAGTGGTCGCAGGGGCCGCCGGTCTTGTGGTGGAACGCCCTGACGACGACGGCGGCGGCTGCGGCAGGGGGGGCTGGGGCAGCGGGGACCGCGCCATCCTGCAGTGCAGCACCACCAGAGGAGGCGGCTGCATCCGCCCCCGCGGCGCCCGTCAGAGCTCCGATTGGACACCCCCCCGCTGCCGTGTTCGCCGGTTCAGTAGCAGCGGCAGCAGCAGTAGCAGCAGCAGACTCATCCAGATGCGGCGCCTGGGGCTGCCAGAAGCTGGGGCCGCCGCTCTCCGCCGCGTCCGCACACTCCGAGTCTGCGGCACTGGCTGTTTGGTCGTACGGCAGCGCCGGGAAGAAATGGTCCCCTGCACTGCCGGTCAGTTGGCTTGCTGGAGGCGAGGGCGCTAGAGAGCTCACGCGGCGGGCAGCCTGCAAATTGGGAGTTTGCTGTTGTTGCTGCTCCTGCAGTTCAAAGTTTGTTCCCGAGGGCCGCCGGCCGCCGTGGCCATCTGGGTCACCGCTGGTCGGGTCGTTTTGCGCACCCGGATGGGGGCCGCACGCGTCATGATGGGCTGTTGCTGCCAAGCAGCCGCCTGCTGGGTCGACCAGAACAGTAGGCCGGTCCACCATCTCCAGGGCTTGAACTGCTTTCTCGAAACAAACCGGCGCTGCGGCAAATTCCTCCTCGCCGCCAAAAACAGGCGTGTCCAGCAGTAGGAACGGGGTCGGCATGTGCGACCGTGCGGTGGCAACGTGAGTAGTGGTGATGTGCACGTTCGGAAAAGGCAGGCGAACAGCTCCGGCGGATGGGAAGGGACATGGAGCCCGGCAGCATGCCGTGGGCAAGACTGTTGGGACTACCGCGAAGTTCTCCTGGCCTGGCAGGTAGCTGTCCTCGGGAATGAGGAATGAAGTCTTGTCAGACAAAGCCAGGCAAGCATCGTCAGCATCAAGAAACGATGCTCCACGGCGCATCCCACATGCTGCCGTTGGCGCCTTGCTAACCACCGGGCAAGCAAACGCCCCATTGCAGTCACGCTCAGCAAGTGGAGCAGCAGCTGTTGACGTCGTAAAAAAAGGCGACAACGCCGGCACAGACTCGTTTGCTGGCGCGGGCGACATCGTGACAAGGAGTTAGCTCGTGGAACGGGCACTACCTGCGCAACCCGAAAGAAAAAGTACTTCAGTATATTCTGGAGATGTGCATGCAAATACGGCCAATAGTATTTCAAATGTTGGACAAAGAGCGGGCCAGTCACGGGAGGCAACAAGAAGCTGGCTCCACAACTGCAGTCATACCAGAGAAGAACCATGTAGGAAAAAACATGCGTCTTAACTTTACTTCCCACGTTCATTATCAAGGTGCGCCTGTCACAAGTCACAGAGAAGACAGCGCCAACTGTCGCGTGGTAGCAGAGGAGGAACTAAGCTGCAGTTCAACGAGAACATCGATCTTTATCTCTTTGTGAGGAGTGGAACTCGAGGCACAAGAACTCGCTTATCGGCAAGGCGCGCCATCCCACAAGTACCCCCGTTTCGCGCCGCTACTTGTGTCGCCTTCTCTGGTATAAAAGCTGGTCGCGCACAAAGCATCCACGCACCTCAAGCCTTCCGTGATAGCTTTTGTGGGCACCGCAGACGTCGGTCTTCCCAAGTTAGCCGTGCTTGTACCGAAGCCGGGAGGCAGCTGAACTTAAACGGCTGCCAAATGCAGCACCTTTGTAATTTTATGTTCGTAGTGGGTTGTTGGCCGTCAGGTTAACCGCGTAACTTTTGCTGAACGCCCGGTCGTTCTCCTGGCTTCGGAGCAATTCCGGGGACACGTCTCACCTTGAAGCTGCACTTGCAGCCGCTGTTTCACATTCTGCCTTCTTCGAAACACCGACTGGTCGATTATGCTTGGTTTCAGCGATAGAGGGGCTCAGAAGATAAAGCGTTTGGAGTTGTCACACTTCGTCCGTACATTGACCTTGCGCTGACAATCACTACCTACCATGGTACTCCATACAAACTTTTATCCTTTTAACTAAAGCAGCGCCATCATGTGTAACAACCCTTGCTACGTTAGTCTATATGGTCACAGCCCCTTGGATGCTGCAGCCGGAAAGGAAAAACCTAAGCACGAAACAAAATTAAGCATTGCTTGCATGAAACAACTGACTGCCATAAACTATCTCATGAAATTCTTTGCCTAGTCCGGTACGAGTACTTGCGGTCGCCATGGGTTTCGCTCAAGGAAAAATATATAAGGCGTAGAACGTAGCGCACGCTATATGTTTAATTGGTCTAGCTAGAAAAATGACCCCTACTACCACCATCCGTAGAGCAACTGCTTGCAACGTTCTCTCTCTGCCGCTGCTGCCGCTGTGCTGAAAAGCATGATGCAGTTATCTGTGTCATTTATAGCTTGGATTTGGTCATATCGCCTCTGCACGTAATAGAAATCGTCATTTTGACGGGTCGGTCGACACCATGTTAGCGACCCGCAAATTATCTCACGCTGTACTAACACGCATATGAATCCTTTGTGAAAACTGAAATTGTAGCCGCTGCAATCAATGTCATCGTGGCAGCCGATTGTTTGTCATAGCCAATTGCTTGCAGACGACCTGTATCCATGAGGTGCCGGAGCTGCAAGTCCTAGCTTTCACCATACAATGGCTTTGCTTTCTGACCTTCAGAAGCACACCCGTTTCCTGAAACCCGATGAATCTTAGGCCCTGTCGAAGGCGAGCACGCGATTCAACCTCACTAAATGCATGGCTTCACACCCAAGTCGAATAACAACGTTCCACGGCAGCATGGCCATTTTGAATTGACAGGCGGGCAAGTGCCCGCTTACCTATGGCTACTGGCCCAAAGGCCATAACCCCCTTGCCTAGTAAGGTTGGCATACATTACGCATCCACGAGCGCGCAGTAGCACATAGGCAAGCGAGGCAATTCAAGCGCTTGTTGCAGCCTGTTCGGGTACGGACCGCTACTGACGGAGGCTGGCGTGAGGCTGCAACAGGGCAAGTGCACCGTGAAGCTCCACATGCTAGAGCAGGAAAAAACGCTGCACTTGTGTTGCGAGGGCTCTGCAGGCGAAGAGCAGGGTGTATGTGGGACACGCCAGCTAATCCGCACACCCGGCACAGAGGCGAGGATTATCACCACCTTCAGTAAGACGCTTTCTCAGGTCCTGGAACAAAAAATCTTGACGCCATCTCATAGATGCATACAACCAGCAATGCACAAACCCAAACCCAATTTTGCCCAAGCCGGGCCACCGCAGCAATTCTCGCCCCCACCATTACCACCACCACCAAACCCCCCGCGCCACCAGCGTTGCACCCACCGCCACTGGGGGGGGCCAACTGATGGCCGCGGCGCGCGGGGATAGGTGCGTTTGGCCTCAAGTGAACAGGTAACCCCTGACCTTACCAGTCCATGTCCTACGTACGGTACGGTACGACAAGGAAATACGGTGTCGCTACCAACATGCAGCGGCGCGAGCATCCAGATCGTCTACTACTACTACTACTACCAGCACCAGCACCACCACCACACCATCATCATCACCATATTCACCACCATACCATACAAAGCACACGATGGCAGCGTGAGCTTCTGACATGACCCGTGGGTCACTTTCCGCCATAAAACGCACCAGCTGATGCCACAGCCGTAGCCAACGCTCGCGAGAGAAACACACCACACGCGCACACAAACGCAAAAAAACGTACAAAATACGCGAAACGGTAGAGCAGCCCTCCTAGCTGCCCCGCTCACTTCTCACGTCCCTCGTGCACAGCAGTTCCGCTCCATTCCGGTCGGGCCGCACAGCGGGCCCCAGCGGGTCATGTATCGAAATCCAGGCGGGCGAGAGCCCGAGGCGTAGGCAGGAAGCGGAGGAAGGGCAACCTGTCAGGTATTGAAGGAAAAAGTCTTTGTCTTCTCGCGACGTCAACAGCCCGCCTTGTGGGCCACTAGTGATGTCCCAGAGGAGACAGGGAGAGTCCAATTCGAGCGAAGACCTGCTCTAATTTGCTCCGACCTGGGTTTCATCCCGAGAACCCTTCCAGGAGCGAATCTTCTTAGCAGGAAAAGCGCTTCAAAGCCCCGCTCACCAACACAGCGCTTCATAGCTTCAAAGCCCCGTTCCAAATGCCAGGCCCGCCTACCCTTGGCATTGGGGACAACGTTAACTGGTGGCGCTAGCAGCAGGGCGCCAGCAGCAGCAGCCGCTCCCTCCCTGTCCCCGCTCCTCCTTTCCTCATAATATGACTTAGGTTTTTTTTTACCAGCCTAAGCCCGTTCCCCAGGCAAACCGTGGACACGGGCCCCCCTGGGCCCCCACCTCATGCCAGGAAGCAAGCCTCCTCCCGTCCCATATAGCCCCAAAAACTCTCAATGAACGGGAAACACCCGCACACCCCAAATGATCACCGGGCGGGGTGGAGGTTGGCCGGCGCTACAGCCTAACCACAACCCCGCATCCAGCCATCCGGGCTGCTGGAATGGCCGGGACAAAGTCGTCGACATCGTGCTCTCGCACTTAGGGTGCTGTTATCTGTAGCACAACTGCTGGCGGAGAAGAAACGAAACGGATATGAAAACATGAAAATGGCAACAAGGAATACGCGCACACGATTAAAATAGCAACAATCGGCCGAGGATTAGAATTAACGCTCGGCCGCCGTTCAAAATTGCTAGAGCCGCACCCGCAATCGCTGTGTTAGACGGCCGGGGCCCCAGCCGCTCTGTTTTTCGCCGCCGCCCTCCCGCGCCCCTGCAGGCGGCGCTCTCAACACTCCTTTCCTCCTCAACGTGTCGCACCTTGCGCGCACCTTAGCGCCATCCCACCAACCGCAAATCTATGAGACACACACACACACACGGCATGCCACCTTGACATCCAACTTAACGTCCAAGCCGCAACAGCTCACAAGCGCCGCTGGCGTCAGCAGCCGCCAACCGCCAACCGCCCACTTTCACAGGGTCCCCGCGCCTTTAACACGTACCGCGGGTACGGGGTAAAGACCATCTGTGCACGACTTAGTGCGCGGCTGTGCAGCTGCACCCACAGCAAGCGAGTGTTCCTAGTTGAAAAGCGCATGGGGCCCCGGGGGCCCCGGGGAACAGCACTGCAACAGCCCGAGGACAGTCGGTGCCAGGTTCGGCAGCACCCCGGCCTGAGCCTCCCCCCCTCCCGCCGGGCCAAATACTGCACCCCGGCGCCATGCCGCCCCTTCACACCGCAACGCAGCCGTTCCGTGTGCATTCATCCCGTGTCACGGTCCACACACCGAGAAAGAGGATACAGCATGCAGTGCAATGCAGCGCATGCTCCGCCCTCGCGCGTTCGAAGCGACCGAGCTGCATGGCAGTGACAGCATAGCAGTGTAAGGGAACTGGTGAGGAGTTCGCACGCCCAGCGGGCAGACAAGCACCAGCCAGACCGCGAGCGGGGCGGGCAACGCGAACGTGGTGAGGATAGTGACACGAAGAGAAGACAGGCAGGCTAGAATACCGACGTACACTACCCGGGCGCCTCGCAAGGACCCGTCCACGTCACGCGGCCTCTGCTTATTCGCCAACATGCGCGGCGCGGCATCCATCCAGGAAGCGGCATCCACCTACTAACGCCGGCAGCCGCTCTGTCGCCGGCGACATGCAAACATATCTTTTCCATGTTGGGGACATGCATAGTAGGCGGCGGCCGCCGCCTGAATGGTGACGCGCAAGAGAGCCGTCCAGGCAGAGAAAGACAAAGACAAAGATGAAGCTGCAGCATCACAGCGTCCCTTCCATGCATGATACATGGCACATAGCTCGCTCTGGATGACCTCACCGTGTGTGTTTGCGTGTGGTTTTTATGTGTCTCCCTCTCTCTCGATCTCTATTCGCTAAAAACTTAAGCCATATACCACCACAACAACAACCGCTGTCATCAGCGTCACCAGCATCAGCACAACCGAAGACGGCCAGTTGCCGCGTTACTTCCATAACACCACACGACACAACAGCTCCCTCTCTCTACCAGTCTCACGCCACAGTTCCCCCCTTGTGTAATGTAGCTCCAGACGCTGTGTAGCACTCAAAACCCTAAACCCCCACTCCATTCCAAACCCTAGTCAGTGAGGCGGCGGGGAAGAGGGAAAGACAAGGAGGACAAGGACCGACCAAGCGCCGTCAGTTCGCGCTTATAGACTCCTTAATCCACCCAAAACAAATCCTCCTCAAGCATCTTCCCCCCATAAGGCTCTCCCCCCAGCCATTCCCTGTGACATGCGTTCATGCACGGTGAGAGGAAACCACGCCGCGTGACCGAGGAGAGGCTCTGTGGACTGTGAACCCGCAGCCCCACCTCCGTTAGGGCTACCTCCAGCATGCCGAGCAGCAGCACAACAAGGATCTTCAAGGATGCAGAGCCCCATTCTCCAGACCGGGCGCAAGCTGTCCAAACGACACACTGGTATAGGGCCGGTAGAACACATACATACATACATACATACACATCATCCGCATCAAAAGATTCCTCCACGCTCTTGCTCACACTCAAATTGTATACACGCGACTGCGTCCATTCGCTCGAGCTCACGTCACGTCACGTACTGTACTGCACTGTGCCATATGGCGATCACCCCGCTCCACTCCTGGCCCGTCCGCAGCCAACGCAATTATCATCCCACGAAACGCCGCCAAGCCAAGCCAGAGCTGCCCTCAAAACCTGACTCGGAACCCATATGCCGGGGTGCAAAGGCGCCTTTGCACCCCGGGGCCCCCCCTCGGCCCCCACCAATAAATGCAATGGAAGTGGAAGCACGTGCAACTGGCAGTATACGGCACAGTATATGGCACAACACCGATTGCGGCGGCCGTGGCGCCGCTGTGGTAAGACGGGGGAGGATTAATAGAGTGGGATGGCGATGGCGACGGCTGAATCCAGAAACAGGGGCCTAACCCAGGGCAGGGGGCGAACCCGGTACACGGCAAAAGGAAGCTAACCGGGTCCTGTGTGGCACGGCCCGGTGTACTACTGCCCCCAACGTCAAATGCGGTTTCCATCAGGCCTGGCACGCCGGCGCAGCTCTCCATCCACCCAGCCCCGCTCAATGCCCCGCTCCCTCACGCGCTCCGTAGGCCTTGTACGCCAGTGCCGTTCAGCGCCGTACCTCCGCGCCTGTTGCGCGGGGTTGGGCCCCATTCCGGTTTCCGGTCCATTAGGGATGGAGACGGTCCAAAAGGCGCACATTGGCACGCTCACACTCAATCTACCGTATACTTCCAGTACGACATACTCGAGGCCACGGGGAAGACAAGGACGTTCAATGTAATAAGCGCGCGCGGGTGGCACGGGACGGACCGGCGGCGGGGGGAGGGGGTTGTGCGCTGCTCAGGAGCCACACGCTCCCAAGAAAGGAGGGGCTGGCACCAGTCCCTCCCTCCCTCCCTCCCTCAAGGGAGGGGGGTTTGTCAGCTCAACCCCTTTCCCTCTCCCACCACGGCCCCCCTGGGCAGCGGGTCCTGCGGGAAGCTGCACAGGAGGGTCCTCCTAGCGTCCCCAAACACCTCGGAGGGACCCAGGTGCCCAAAATGCTCTCTCTTCTCTCTCCTCTGCTGACCTGTCTCTCCTCTGCTGACCTGTGTTGGGCCCTGCGTAACACGGCCCGACCTGGCTCTCTCTATCCGCTCTCCACACCGCACGACAATGAAACCATCACCATCACCATCACCACGCTCAGCAAAGCAACACGCTCAAGTCACCCCCTTCAGATCAGCTCTTGAGTAAAAAGTTCAGGAAATCGTCATCTACACGGGTGGCTGTCTCCGTTACCCCCGCCAACCCGGCCGCCACGTCCACCATGACCGGACCGCCAGCAGCCAGCAGCCCGTGACCCAGCACGCCCATCGCTCCGGCGCCGCTGCCGCCGCCGCCAATAACGCCGCCGCCGCCGTACGACGACATCTCCTGGAACACAGCCGCAAAGTCTGAATTGTCGCCTTCGTCGAGCAGCATGGTTGGATCCAGCACGGCCGCCGTCCCGTGCGCCAGTTGTATGGTCGGCCCTGGCGGCGCTCCGAAACCGTCTTCTATAAGGCCTCCTATTAAATCCGGTGGAATGTCCAAGACGGCGCCGGCCCCGGCGCCAGCGCCCTGCCCTCCGGCCGCATGCAAATGCCCCTTCCCGCCCACGTCAAGCGTGCCGTTCAGGGCCGGCGCCATTGCCAACGTGTTGTTGGTTGCTAGGTGTGTACTACTAGGTTGCGAGTGCAGTAGCTGCTGCTGGTGTGGCTGTTGGGTGTGCAGAGACGAGGATGAGAGTGTGTGCGGGTGTTGCCCAGAGGGCTGTCGAGGGAGCGCCCCCGCAGGACTTGCCAGGGCGGGCGTCCCAACCGTGGCCTGCGGCAATTTACCAGGCTGTTGCTGCTGTTGTTGTGGTTGCGGTTGCTGCTGCGCCTGGGGCTGCTGCTGCTGGTGCTGGGCAGCGGCAACTGCAGCCGCCACAGCTGCTGCTGCGGCAGCAGCTTGGTGCTGTTTCTGCGCCATTTGGAGGTCCTTCTGCTGCTGTTGCTGCTGCTGCTGCTGGAGATGCGGCTGCTGTTGTTGTGGAAAGAGGTGTTGCTGAGGCCCGGGGAGGCCTACCCCTACACGATGAAGGAGGAGGAGGACAGACGAGAGGGAGGAACGGAAGCATGCAAGTAGGGAAGGAGGAGAACCTACCGGCCGTTAGGTTCGCCATAACAAACCCTAACGAGGAGCAGCTGACGTCTCTTCTCGTTAGGTTCTCCGCTTACCGAATGAAAAGGTTTTCAGCGGAGAACCTCTAAAAATACATCACAACACGAGCGGCCCCCGAACAACCCGACAGTCACAAACCCGAATCCGAACCCGAACCCCAGAGCCTGGGGTGTTCAGGCTCGTGCAAACGAAGGCAGGAAAAGGGACGTTGCGCCCTTTGGTCAAAAAACGAATGTCACGGTGCTTCTTCTCAACACGCGCGCACACACATGGAGTGTTTCGGCGGTCTCACCCCGGGGGCCCGGGTTGCGTCCCCCCGCCATAGAGGTCAACTGCGATATGTAACAATCACACACGTGTACACACATCTACACACATCTACATCGCGGCTCAGATCATTGCACCACACCTCTGGGAGGTGGTGGGGTCAGGTACCTCTCTGCGGCACGCACCTGGGAGTGGCCCCATGATGCCGTTCATGCCGTTCATGGAGAGCGCGGGCAGCTGCCCCATGCCTGCCATCCCTATGAAAAGCAACCCGACGGTTCCAGGCGGCCGCACGGGCAGGGCAGGACAGGGTGGGGCGAGTTAAAGGAGCATTTATTAAAGAGCAATTTACAAGGGCAAAAGGAGCAGGTTTAAGTTCCCTAGTAGCAAGTTTTGATGTATGTTGGAATGGAATGGAGTGGGCTCGATTCGCGGTCTAATTCCCCCAGAGAACCCCTTCCCTCCCTCCTTCCCAGGAACGCAAGTCCGCGCAATTGGTCCCACGCCCGCCCCAACCGCAATCGCCGGCGCTTCCTCGACCCCACATGTCAAATGCCGCTCCCTCTCGCACCTTGCATCAAGTTGGCTGCCGCCATTTGCTGCAAGCCGTTGGCCATGGGGTTGAGAGGAAGGCCCGCCGGCAGACTCGGGAGGGGCCCCGGGCCGGGCAGTCCTATCGGTCCGAGGGGGCCCAGTCCCAGCTGCCCGCCTGGCCCTGGAAGCCCTGGTAACAGTCCTGTAGTGCAGCAGCGTGGGGCAGCGGCAACGACCGGGTGGTTCCAAAAGGGAGTTCCCCAATGGGGAAGAGTACAGCAACACAAGGAGCGGGAGTAGGTGAAAGTGAGAAAGCTACATGGAAGCTCCTCTAAAGATGTACATGGCATTCAACGTGGCGACGGGCTACGGTGTTTGATTTGAAATATAGAAGAGATCCAGCCGTCAGCCAACGACTGCTTAAGGCCAACATAACGTGGTGTTCAGGTGGGACGTGCGCACGACGACAGGAGGAAAGAACACGGGTGGCGGGGTCCCGCGGATGCCCAACGCTTTGCCCAACGTTCTGCCTCCCGACGTTCGTTCTACGAAGGTGGGGAGAGAAGTCTGGCTGTTGCACTGCGACAACACAGGCCTAGGTGCTATACTTGCAAACATCTTCTTCCCTGCCATAGGCCAAGGCCATGTCGAAATATCGCACCTCAAGACTACGGAAAAAAATCACAACCGTTAAGATGGATATCGCTAATATATTTAATGTGGTTAAACGTCCGGTGCTAAAGTTTTACACGGCCGATTGTGGCTAAGGGATCCACAGGCAAAGCCGGACACGTGGCTTTGCTTACCAAGGGGCGGCTGCATGCCAGGCATCGGCATGCCGTTGAGGGGGTTGAGCGGCCCGAGCGGCCCAACGCCCAGTCCGCCCATAGCTCCTAGCAGCGGATTTAACCCCGCTGCCGCCGCCATCATCGGATTCGCCGCCAGCAGTGCCGCTGGGTGTGGTGGCGGCGGCGGCGGCGGTGTGGGAAACCCACCTGCTGCCGCCGCTGCCGACATCGCATTCGCTACTGCTGAGCTCAGCCCCGGCCCTGGGCCGCCACCGTCAGCTCCCAACTGTCCGCCACCCGGCGGCGGGCCCGCACCGGCGCCGCCTCCGGCGGGACCGCCGCCAGCCAATATACTCGCCAAGCTGGCGGCTGCGGCTGCAGCTCCGCCGCCGCCCTGCAGCTGACCGGCGCCTGCGGCTGCGGCACCACCGCCGCCAGGTAACGACTGTTGCTGCTGGGATGGCACCTGTGGGCTTTGCGGCTGCGGCGGTGAGGGCCTGCTGACTCGATTCTGTCCCGGCTGCTGTGCGCCCGAAACCCGCTTCAGGTAGAGGCGGTACTTTTGCAGATGGCTGGCCACGTTTTCGCGGGTCAGTCCGTCCACGTTCATGATCTCCAGGATCTTCTTAGGGACGGCTTCTGGGAGGTGGACGTGAAGGTGTGGTGGGTTGTGCCTCACAGAATCAGTACAGTCAAACCCGGGACGAGGAAGAGAAAGAGGAACCGCAAGATAGTAAAATGTAGCAACATAATCCTAACTCGCGACAGGAGCAGCAGCGGGTCTGCGACCGCTGCGCAAGGTGTTGGGGTGAGAGAGGGTAAACAGCAACCCCCGTTTCGCCCACTTGCCCTGCTGCCCTCTATATCCTTCTCCACCGGCCTTCGTCCTCTTCCTAAGCTCTCCGGGGGCCAGGAAAGGGCCACCGGAGCCAAGCCAGACAGGCAGCCCAATGCAAACCTACCTCCTCCTCATCCCAACCCGGTCACCGTCCGGTCAACCTCATGACGAGTAGGGCCAGCCTCCTCCTCCCTCCTACCCATTTCCCATGCATGTCCATCACACAACCTCCCGCCTTGCCTGGCGTTCCCGAGCATTGCCGCGGCAGAGGCCCCAGCCAGCCGCGCAACCTCCTCACCGCGGCTGCCAAGCATATCAACACCAGCATAACACCCCGGTAGCCCAACCACCAGCACCAGCGGCAGCAGCACCGGCCCCGAAACCCCAAACTCACTGTCGATGCCCAGTTGGTTGACCGCGTTGACAAACTGTTGGTGCATTTCCACGCTCCACACCACACGCGCCTTCTTACTGGAGCCGTTATCCAGCCCCAGCCCCAGCTCATCCGCAGCGGTGCCCAGCCCCAGGCCCAGGCCGGCCGATCCGGTTGCGACCGCACCCAGGTTCCCAGTGGAGCCCAGGCCGTTAGCGCCCCCGCTACACCCAGCCCCCATCATCCGCAACTGCATGTGCGCCAAACAACATCGCAGGAACACACATACACAGATAAACATCACTTACAAAACGCATACAGTCGTGGCTCAACCCTTATATATACACACACATACACGAACATACGTACCTGAAAACGCACCAACCTCGTCCCCGGGGTTCTAGACCTTACACCCCGTACACTCCCGGTAATTAACCTAACCACGCCCCAAGTGCCAAGCACCAAGCGCGCATGGTATAATCCGGATCCTTAGTGCTAGAGCGGCATCAGACTGGTCACAGCGATGGAGGGCGGACAGGGGTTAACTTCCGCCGCATTGCCCTCACATGGCCCCACATGTGAGGGCGCACGACGAGAGACACAAACACACAACAGCTCTGCCGCAGCAGTAGCTCTGTCCGAGCTCAACCGCGCTGCAGCTGAGTTGAGCTGCTGATCTGAGGAGCTGTGTCACGGAAAAGCCAACGTGGGGTGTTCAATAGCGCCAGTATGGACTCTCTCTTCCCTCCCCTGCGGGAGTTTGCTGCGGCGCGGCTCTGAAGTGCTGCAGCAGCCGGACGCTGGCCGCAGGAAAAGGACCGTGCGGACACGGGCTGCTATGCTCTGCTGCCAAAGCTCCGTGGTAATCGCGGTCAAGGTTTGCAGCTGCCAGCGCTGGAAACGGCTGATGCGCGACGACGAACTACCCGCCGTGCCATGAGAGCGCGACGAGGAGCAAAGGAGCAGAGGTACCTCGAGGCATCGTCCGGCGTCGGTCCTGATACGGCCCGGGCTGTGCTGCCCAGCTGGCGCAAACCAGACGGTTGCACACGGCTTGCAGAGCCAGCGTGGCTCGGACATACTGACTGTTTGGAAGCATGGGACTGGATGTGGGGGACCGGGGTAGATGCTGGCTGTGCCTTCCCGCCAGTTTGGGCGTGTTACTGGTACCATACCCCAGAAGCTCACCTGGTCGCCTATACACCCGGCTGTATCCGCTTTCCGTTTGCGTCCCTGGTCATCGTCGCGCTCTTGGCTATGCTCATCGCTGTCCATGTCAAGGTTAAGCTGCGGACAATTGGCGTAAACGAGCATGTAGGTGGCAGTTTTTAAGGTGCAGGAGGGTAGCGCCGTTGGCTGGGCCCTGGCGCCGTGTGCATTGCGGTTACCTGCCGACGACGCCGGACGACGTGTTGCCATAGATTCCGCAGTTCCTCAAGGCGGACTGGTTTTATTAGGTAGTCACAAGCGCCGTGTGTAACGCCTCTGAGCACGTTGCTGGTATCGCCATTGGAAGACATCACTGCAAGCGGCACACTTGCGCCCTTCTGAGAATGCATACAGCCACAGCCGCTTAACTCCAGTACTTACTTATGACAGGAAGATCCATCTCCAGGCCAACGACCTCCAGAAGCTTGAACCCGTCCATATCTGAGGAGGAAACTAAAAAGCTCTCAGGAGCTCAACCCAGGACAACCAAGCCCTGCCTAAACGCACCTGGCATGTAGACATCTGATAAGACGAGGTCGTATTCCGTGCTCTTGTCGCGAAGCAGGTTGAGCGCCATGGTTGCGTTTGTGCAAGTGGTGACTGCGCGCACAGCCAGCGTAGGAAGTTCAAGGACCTCTACATTAAAACATCTACTCTGACGCGGCAGGTTCTTGAAGCGTCCGCCCACCGTCATAGGAGCACTTGCGCAGCATTTGCTCGACCACTTTCAGGCAGAGAGGGTCATCGTCAACAACAAGCAGGCGCAGTCCCGCGGGGAAATTATGCCAGTGGCCAGAGGCGTGGTCCTCCTGCTTGATGGCCACAGTGCCCTCCGCACGGCCGTCCATAGTCCAGACCCCCGCTCCCTAAATTCTTAAAGCATTCCACGTCTGCCACGATGACGAGCTTTAAAAATGCTGTATGTTATTTCCATAATGTCCAGCGACATGAGGTATGGGGCCAAGCCTATGTATTTTGAGCAAAAGCAAGCTAAAGGCTGTTAGTTGAAAAACGGACATAGTTACAGTGAGAAGCGCAACAACTAGCATGAACAAATCAAATTGGAAGCACACAACGTGGAAGGAGCGGCATGTTCGCCCCGCAACGACTGACTGCAGAGTGGCACGTACGGCGTGTACTGATTTGTCATACATTCACTGCAGTATGTTCATTCCTCAAGAGGGTTTTTCCACTTATTATACCTCCATGTTAGTGAGGTTAAGGGTCTCTAGCATCGAAACACATCACTACAGCATTCCTGCAGGGACGCACCGAGCTATTTACAACGCATCCCTGCATCATTGCAGCTTTCTTGTACTCACATGCGTATAACCAAAATTAGTGAAGCATAACACTGTGAGCCCTTTGGTGCAATCTGGAACTTTTCGGGTAAGGTTCATGGCGTGATAAGGAAAACCTCTCTCGCATGGGGCCGGCCCTTCCCTTTCGCTTTGTTTTACTGTTTGAGGCTTGGTTGAAGGGCTGCGCTCCACGCTGCCTGCTGCCCGCCCAGCCGGGCCCTACAGCCCCCTACAGCCCCCCCTACAGTACCTACTGCACCATAGCATACATAAAAAGCCTTTTACTGGACAAGCCGCCCACGCCAAACCTCCGTAACGCATCGCCGAGCATTTAAAAAAGGAAGATGTTCTTTCCAGGCACATAATTTTGATTCCAGGACACGTGTGCATTTGTATGCATTTATGTGTTCTTAACATTTATTCGCTTTATTCGCTTTATTCGAAATTCACCAGTGAGAGCCGCCGCCTGTCAAGCACAGCACCGCATCAGTCGCCAACAGTACCGCGGATTCCGGGGTGGGGAGGGACGACGACATCCCGGGCAGCTACCTGCATTCCCCGCTACTGCCGATCTTGGCTACCGACCTACTGCTACAGCCGTTCTGCGTCCCATAACTACACCCCAAGCGACGGCATCCGAACAGTTGCCCGTTGCCGCCAAGGTGCCTTTCGTTGCCCGCCAGCCGCGCGCACTCCAAAGCAAAAACGCCCGTTAGCGGACCCGCCATTAGTCGTTATCGGATTGTTGCACGGCAGGCCTATACATACCGTACAGTACGGCAAATACTCGTACGGCGGAGTGATGCAAACGAGTTTGCTGGCCACCGCTCCTGAATGGGTGGTGGCTAGCTGTGTCGGCCAATTACGGCATTTGTACGACACCCAAACAGCGCCGTTCCTAGCGCCGTTTGCCGACTATGCTTCGTGTCTACAGCGGACGCGGGAACTCGAGGTGAGATGGGGGTGGGGGGCCTCGTGGGCGGTTCGGGTGGGGTGGGGTGGGCTGGGGGGGTGGGGGGTCCTGGAAAAGAGCTGAAAAAAAGGGAGGGAAGGGGAGAAGATGGAAAGGGCGAAGTAAGTTTCCCTAAAGGAAGGGGAGTCTGTGAAGGGGACATTCTTTTATGCATAATTGCCTTTTGAGCTCATGGAATGACGAGACGGGCGATAGGCGCTGAGTCAAGATGGTTGTGGTACGACATGTCTGCACATGTATGTTTTAAGGAGTTAGGTGTGTATGTATGTATGTTGTTACAGGGTGGTTAACTTCGCCAGCGGCCCCCTTTCCCGGGGCAGTCCCTGCTCTCCCCTGCTAGAGGGGCACCCTAATCCGTCACCCCATCCGAATTCAGAATGTATTCGTTGGGTTCGGCTACTCACCATAAGCATCCAACCAAATCTAGCGGAACAACGGCGCATCAACTTTGTTCCTGGTTAGCTCGCAAGTTGATATTATCACGTCCTACATCGTCCGTATGATGGGGGGCCACCTCCTATTCCATCTCTCCTCAAACACCCGAGGAGCCGGCAGGCGGATTTGAACCCGGGTCGGCCGGGAGCAGAAGTCAGGCCTTAACCTCTGCCAGCCGCCTGCCATGTATATGTATGTATGTGTGTCACGGCCCCTGGCGAAGTGGTGTGTGTTTTGGGGGGGCTTATGGAAAGCAATTGAAAGCGCCCCGTGTGCTGTTGCGCTGTTGCACTGTGAGGTGTTTATCTTCCTTCTTCCCGCCCGCCCACAACCCTCCCCGCAATCGCCGCGTCTACTGCCCTCGCGACGCCTCCCACCCAACTGCAACCCAACCAACCGCCAACCACCCCAACCACCCCAACCACCTTCTAGGTTCGCCTTCTCCAGCTAGACAAGGAGGGTGCCGAGCTGCGGGATGAGAACGCGGCGCTGCACTCGCGGCTGGCGGCGGTGGACTTGGCGGCGGCCGCCAACACGGCAGCGCAGGTACGGCAGGATGGCGGGGTGGTGGGGGAAACACATACTCGTGCCGGTAGGGTCGCAGTGTATACCATTGTACGGCATATGGGGTAATTATAATAGGCTAGTACGGCAAGGAGGGCCCCGGGGCCGCCGTATGGGGGGAAAGGAGGAGGAGATGTGTTTGGATGAATGGGTGCCAGATGGATCGGGGGGAATATAGCCCGAACGCGAAAACCGATATCGCAACCCAAGCTATGGCCAAGTCGCCGCCAAGAGTACGCAACATATCTTTGGTCAGTAAAATATCCCTGCAGCATTTCTCTTCTCCTGTACCACCCATCTTTGGTATCTGCTCCATTCGCCAGTGGCTCGTCTTACCCTCCCTACCCTCCCTACCCTGCCAACGCCTATCTGATCCCGCGAGCACACACACACACACACACACACACACACACACACACACACACACACACACACACACACTACCTCCCCACCTCTTTAACTCTACTTATCACCTCTACGGCTTCCTTTGCATCTCTGCTTTGTTTATCACTCTCTTATTTCACCTCGGCGTCTAGGCAGTCAATTCGCTGTTTTTTCTTCGGACTAGGCAGCTGCTGGCTTCCCGTTTCGTAATCCATCTGCCTACCGCCCCCCCCCCGTGCCCCCGGGACAACAACCACCCCTAGGGGTCACCTAAGGTCCGCAGTTTTTAGGGTTCCTCTCCTCCTACAGTGTTATTGGCCTTTCCCTGGAGTATCCGTCTACGGTTTCTTCTTCTTGTCATTCGTCTGTGTTTGTCGTACCTCCCCCCTCCCTCCCTCCGTACACCCCCCAGTTAGAGGAGACCCGGGCGGCTCTCAGCCGGGCGGAGAGGGAGCTTGGGGTGCTGTACAGGGACAAGGCAAATCTGCTGGAGGTGGGTTTCGGAGCGGGGGGGAGGGTCGCCGGAGCGAGGGGGGGTTCGGAGCGGGGGTTTCGACTGAGGGGGGGGGGTTCCACGGGACCTCCTCCGCGGTGGGTTGCGAGGTTGGAGATCCTTAGGGGGGTTTTACCGACCTGTCTGCTCTGCCCAATGTCGCAAACATATATACAGACACAAATACAGACAAGACAGACAGACAGACAGACCCCTTGCTTGAAGACTCTCACCGTCTGGCCCCGCTTTCAGTTGGCCGCGTGTCTTCCTCCTCGCACGTGTATTTTCCCCCCGTCCATTACCCGCCTTCCCACCACATTCCGACACATAGTTCGTGTTTCCCCCTCGTGCCTTGGGTAGTTTCCACCCTCCCCCAACCTGCTGACACAACACACACACCCTCCTCCCCCCACACACATCACCATAACCACAACCACAACCAAAACACACACATACACACACATGCAGGAGGTGGTTGGCGCCAGCACGGCCCTCACCACCGCACGCAGTGCCTTAGAGAGCTCCAATACACAGCTGTCCCAGGTGCGTCGTGCCGAGGGGGAGGGGGAGGGGGGATGCGGGAGATAGATAGATAGATAGATAGATAGATAGATAGATAGATAGATAGATAGATAGATAGATAGAGAGATAGAGAGATAGAGAGATAGAGAGATAGAGAGAGAGAGAGAGAGAGAGAGAGAAATCTTGAAAATCCCAACCCAGACAAAATGAACCCCAAAACCAAATCCTAAAACTTGCCCTTTTGAAAAATCAAACTCCCCCCAAAAAACCGCCCTCCCCCATCTCCCCCCAAAACCAATACCCCCAAACCACTAAATACCTCCCTCGGCAGTCCCGTGCCGAGATCTCGGCTCTTCGCGAGCAGTTATCGGCTCTGGGGGGCTCCCTGGAGTCGGAGCGGGCCGCGCGAGTGGCGGCCGCCGCCGAGCTGGCGGCGGCGCTGGCGGCGCGTGACGGCGCACTGGCGGAGGCGGGGAGGTTACGACATGAGAATGCCGTACTGCTGAGGCGGCTCATGGAGATGAAGGTGAACCGGGGAGAGTGGAAAATGGGGTTTGGGGGTTTTAGGAAAAGGAGCCATCTTTTTAGAGTTTTCACAGGATGAACGTTTCGGCACGTCCGAAACCCTAAAACCCTCCAAACCATTTCCTAACCCTCCCCGCCTCCCCACCCCTTCCTTGCCGGGCCCCCATCTGTTGGTTCAGGAGGGCGAGGCGGGCCGACTGAACGACCTGAACCGCATGCACGAGGAGCTTGTGAGCCGGGGTGGGGGGGTTGGTCTGGGTGATCTGGGTTTTAGGGTTTTAGGATATTGGGGCTATGAGAGCCGCGAGAGAAGACTTTTGGGGGTGGGGGATTGTGGGAATTGCGGGGGAGCATGTGTGGTGTATGTATGTATGTATGTATGTATGTATGTATGTATGTATGTATGTATGTATGTATGTATGTATGTATGTATGTATGTATGTATGTATGTATGTATGTATGTATGTATGTATGTATGTATGTATGTATGTATTGCGTGTAGTGGATGTATGTATTGCGTGTAGTGGATGTAGTGGGTGTGCTCGATACATAGTTATAATATGCACACATACATATGGACACACAACCTCAAGGGTTTGATAGTTGGTACGAGTCTGACAATCTATGTATACACCGTGTCGTACGGCAACCGTCGTACCGCAGCTAGAGCAGGCGACGCGGATGCGGCAGGAGGCGGAATTGGACCGTCAAGCCACTGAACTGATCCGTCAGCGGGCCGTAGCGGCGGCGCTGAGTGGGGTGGCTGTAGCTGGGCCGCTGGGGCAGCCGCCAGGCGCAGCGCCGTCGGTCCTGGTTGCGGCGCCGTCGTTGCTGCCAACGGCAACCGCTGGGGAGGCGCCGCCGGCGCCAGCCACTGCTGCGGCCGGCGGCGGCGGCGGCGGCGGCAGCGGCCTCAGCAGCGAGTGGGTCGGCGCAACGGCTGCCATACAGCTGGGCGGCGGCGGCGGCGGCGGCGGCGGCGCGCCGCCTCTGCCGATACCTACCAGCTTGCGAGAGGTTATGGGGCTGCTGGCAGGAAGTCCATCCTATGGGAATGCCGGCGGTGGCGGCGGCGGCGGTACGGTAGGGTTGTACGACACATCTGTACGGCCGCCGGAGCTGCGAGTTCCCGCGCGCGTGCCGGTTGCGGTGGTTGCAACGGCTCACAAGGGCGGTTGTAACTCTTTGGCGCCGCAATGCCCCGGTAAGCAATCGTCATCGCGGCCCACAGTTGTCGGTTGGTTCGTTTGGCAGTTCGTTGGTGGTTATAGTTATAGTTATAATATACGCGTCCCAACATCCCAGTCCTGAGGTAAACGTCCGAACGTAAAACGTAACCCCCAATTACCCCCCCCCGGCCCCCGTCTTCACGGACGCCTTCGGTCAGTTCTACGTCTGGTACACTCTTGCCCTGGCAGCAGCTTCACTCGTTTGTGGTTGGTCTTTTCCCCGGGCCCGGGGCCCCCGCCCCCCCCCCCCACACACACACACGCACCAGGTCATTTTATCGCTTCCTGCGGCTCCGACAAGACTGTGGCGTTGTGGGATATAGCGCTGGTGGCCGGGCCGGGCTGTCTGGGCGCGGCTACAGCCGCCACCGGGGGCGCATCAGCACTCACATCTGGGAGCTTGACGGCGGGTGGTGGTGGTGGTGGAGGAGGTGGTGGGGTCTGCCACCTGAGCCCTGCCATAACGCTGATGGGGATGACTGGGGCGGTGAATGATTGCGCTTTCACGTGCGATGCGGCGCAGGTGAGGTGGGGGATGGGTGGTTTGTGTGTGTGTGGGGGGGGGAGGGGGGTTAAGACGAAACACGGACGAATGAAATATGCCAGAGATAGACGCATGGGCTCGACAAAGGATTATACACGGATAGTGCAGGAATGTGTTTGTGGTGTGTGTGTGTGTATTTGTGTGTGTGTGAGAAAGAGGCATAGGGCTGGTGGTGGTTTACTTGGACATGTCCCGATGCTGAGTGTCAGTCGGTATGTCGGTGTGTCGGTCTCACCGGGGGGGGGTTAGTCCTGATGAACTCTTCCCTCTACCCCCGCCCCCGCCAGCTCCGTCCCAAGTATTGCCCCCCACTCCCACAACTTCCCTCCCTCCCCCCTCTCTCTCCCTCCCGCCCCTCCCCCACTTCCCTTTCTCCCCTTTCCTCTCTCTCCCCCTCGCCTTTCCCCTCCCTCCCCCAAACACCTCCACTTCTCCCAACCCAGTTCCCGCTCCCTTCCACGCCGAACCCCTCTACCAACCTCCCACTCCCGCCTAAAACCCCCCAAACCTGACGTCCTCCCCACGTTCCCTCCCCCACGCCTTAGGCACTACGGGGCTGCATGCACATGCCCCCCTAGTGTGCGCAGGTTGGCGGGAGCCACGAATGGCCCCGGCCCGCGCACTTGCGCTTCTCTTCCTACCAACTCCCTCTCCTCCCTTGGGCCTTTCTTTTTCGTTGGAAAGAACGTTCGCGTTTGCGTTCTTTCCAACCCACTTTTCCATTTCTACCTTCTTTGCGTACTGCCAGCGTACACGTCGTCCAATGCGTCATCCCGTCCAATGCGTCATTCCGTCATCTCGTACGACACCTTCCGTGTCGTCCTGCGCCGCCTTTGCAATTGTATTTTTTAATTCCTGCGCTTTCTTCTGCTTTCACAGAGGTTCTTTAGGGCTTCTTATCCCCAGCTTCCCCGGTCAGCCAGCTTAATACTCCCTTTCAGCGGCATTTTCATGCGTTCTTGTCTTTTTCGTTCGCTGCTCACTACTTTCCCACACCTCTGCCTCGCATGTGCCTTTGCCCGCTGCTTCTGCTGCCTGGCCAGGTGAGTCCGAAGGGTGGTTCGAGCTTCTTCGGTATATCGCGTTGGCGTCGGTCGGCTAGCCGGACTAGGATAGTCGGGTCGGTCGGGTCGGTCGCGCGTTTTAGTTTGGGGGGTTGGGAGGAGCACTTGCATACCGACAGCCTTTCAGTACCAGCAAATCAGCTAATTCTCCAGGCCAGCAACTTCATGCCAGCTTTACGACAGCACTGCTTTACTACTTTTCCGCCGCCTTCACACCTACTTTTCTACACCTACTTCTTTACGGCTTGGCAATACTATTTCTTCTGCTTTTTTAGTCCTGGCGGCTTAGGTAGGTAGTCTTTCCGACATCTTCTTCACTTCTTCATCCCGAGGTCACGGTCGCCACGGACGCCTTTCGGTCAGTTTTACGTTTGATACTCTCTTGCCCTGGCAGCAGCTTCAATCGTGTGTGGTTCGTCTTTCCCCCTCTCCCCCCCTTCTCTCCCCCCCTTCTCCCCCCCCCTTCTCTCCCCCTTTCCCCCCAAGGTTGTGGCGGCGGGGTCTGATAGGGCCCTGCTGGTGTGGGACGCCACGTCAGGCCGCCACCGCCACACGCTAACAGGGCACTCGGGGCCGGTGACGGCGGTGGCGTTATCCCCCCTGGACTGCAGACTGGCGGTTAGCGTCAGGTGGGGGGCGGTTCGCTTGGCAGTTGTCGGGTGGTTGGGCAACTAACCTCATCGGGCGCCTTCTGCCGCTCATTCCCCTCCATCCACGTCGTCGTCCTGTTCGTACGTCGTACACTAAGTTGTAAGCCTTTAAATTGACGTATGTTCGTATGTATTTCTGTCGTACCAGTGAGGACCGTTCCTTCAAGTTGTGGGACCTGGGTAGGGGCTTCTCCGTACGATCCGTACCGTGTTCCAGAATGCCTCTGTGTTTGGCGCTCAGCAGAGATGGGAATACGGTGGTTACAGGTGTGTGTGGGGGGGAACTGGGGGGTGGGGGGGCATTGGGGAGTGGAGGGGATTTCAGGGTTTTAGGGTTTGGAGCTGCAATCCGCCCCCGCACTGTCACCGTGGTGGTCTGGCACTCTGATGCGGCATCAATGTCTGTATGTATGTCTTTATGTATGTCTTTATGTATGTCTTTATGTATGTCTTTATGTATGTCTTTATGTATGTCTTTATGTATGTGTATCTGTTACATGTCGATCCGGGCCTGACGCTGGCCAGGGGCACCTAACCGTACCCCAACGGGAACGACCGCCGAAGGACTCCATCATTGGAGGGGCGTTATATCGGTTAGAATCCTAACCGATCTCCCTTATCAACGCAAGGCGCCGTCACCCGTTCGAATCCTCTAGCCAGCAACATACACACCAGCTCAGATGTCAAGCAACCTCCGTTCCACCGATAGCGCCGCCACCCTACAGCTGCGCAATCTCCCAATACACTCACACCGGCGCCAATCGCCACCCTATCTATTCTGCCGCCGCCCGGTTTCGTTATCCAACCACCACCATCTAGTTTACAGCCTGGTCCAGGCCCTATGCCTAACTTAACCCTCCGCCATTGCCCTGAGGCTAGGTGTATAGATCTTCATGGTGAGCTCCCCCCCAGTCCAGCCGCCTAGCTAGCGCACCGGAGGAACCAGTGTCTCAGCCTTCTCAGCCTTCTCGACACCCCAATCTACTTCACGGGGGGGGGGGGGCCCAGCGGTGGGATATGTGTATGCGTGTGTATGTATGTGTGTATGTATGTGTTGGCATGTCGCTGGTACTATATGAGGGCGGCTTCGTTGGGGCCTGCCGTACAATTTCCTAAAGCTTGTAACCATCCCTCTATACAGCATCACATGCAGTGAAACTATCAACCACCGCCGTACAACCTGTTTCAACTGCCCAACGACCTGCGCTGTCACAACCCACAGGGCCTGCCGATCACTACTAACGCCACTAACCGCCAACCGCCCATACACACACGGGGCCCCCAGCCATGCCATGCCAACTCCCCCCCTTCCTCCCCTCTCCCCCGCCCGCCGTTCCCTCCCTTAACCAGGTCATCTGGACGGCAGTGTACTGCTTTGGGATGTACGGCAGTGCCGTGCCGGTGCGGCAGCACCGCTGATGGAGGTGAGCGAGGGCCTTTGGCCTGGAAGGAGGAGTGCGTGTGGGTTGGGGAAAAGGAGGGGGAAGAAGTAAAGAGCGAGCCAACCACCCACCCAACCACCCAACTACCCAACTACCTTGTGTCGTTGCTTTTATGCGTTTATACCAAGCAGGTTTGCAGCGTCGAGAGAGCCTTCTGTCTTGTCACGCCTGGGGTCACACAACCAGGTTTAGATTTCTACAGCTCATAAGCAAAAACATATACAGCACATTCATATAGCCTCGTGACATAAAGTGAAGTGTTCCGTTGTCTACTCCTCCGCGATTTGTTGAATTCAGCTTTCTTCAGCTCCTCCAAAATAGCCCCTAAAAAGCCCCCATCAATGCCCTCCCGCCAAAATCCTAAAATCATCACCCGCTACCTCTCTTTCCCCTCTTTTTCCCTCCACTGATTGTAATCGCTCCCACC